AAGTATGATTAACAAACATTTTTGCGATACTAGCTCTTCAAATGTAGACTCTAAAACATGCAGAAATTCAGGAATTGAAGCGCTTGGGGATCGATACAGTGCGCATATTACAAAACAAATATTTTTAATTTTTATTTTGACCGCTACAATCCAAGTGTTCATTTGAAGTGAAAAATTCATAATCTCACTATACTGTATGTCATTCCTGATATAAATAATGGTTCCACCAGTATGCCTGCTAGTGGAATTGCATTGTACTATGTCATACCCGTTAATCGAGATTTCATGTTGATTAATCTCATCTGTAACACAAGTTTCTGACAGACAAACTATTAATGGTTTATGACAATAAATAGCAAATGAAATGTTATCAATATTCTTTATCAAGCTAGAACAATTTGCATAAAATATATTGTAATCTAATGTCTTACTGGTTTCTCTAAAAAATCACTCACCACAATACCTTTTGGCCAAAGATTCGGGTTTAGAAAATCATTTTTTAAGTAGAAGGGGATACCTACTTTAAATGATCCAACTCTGTTGCTGTTACCTAACTGTAGTTTTTCACACTCATATGTTTCATTAGAGTCAATTTGTCTTACGAAATTGAGGACTTCTTCCTCCTGTGTAGTGGGAGTAAACCCAGAGACAAAAAAGTGATTAAGCATAGATACTACTTGGTCCTGGCTAGTATTGTTGTTTCCATATACCACGCGCTTTTTGCGAAATCCCTGCCTGAAATTGTTCCTATTGCCCACTTTTTCACGCTGATCCTCTTGATTATATTTATACTGGAATCTAGGTGGAACATCGAAGCTATTCTTGACGGAATTAGTTTTAGTTGCAGTGGAAGCGGCTGGTTGCGTCTCTAAATTTATTATCTCATACATTTTTGAGCAATACTGAGCAGCCAAATCACCTGATCCACCATTTAAAGCGCCTTTAACTTGGGGCACAAAATTTTCTTGGGGCCGCCCATGTGGTCTAGACTCAATGTGAGTCACTGGTTGCGAATCAGTACTCACAAATTTATTAGCTGTTTGATTTGTCTCAGATAGGTTGTTTTGGATCAAGTTTAAGTTCGATATTTCCAGTTTTTCTATTTTACTGAAACAATATTCCAAAAGGCCTTCAAGCTTTGTTACTTTGTCACATAGCTCCTGCTCTTGCTTTGATTTTTGTGTAAATATAGCCTGATGGTTAGACATAATTTGTGTTTTCATATTAGTGAAGGATTCAGTAATAAGCACTGATTTATCCATTAATGTTTGTTCAGTATTTTGTTTAGTTTGCTCTCCGAAGTTTTGGAAAAATTCTGTGATTTCAATAGTTTTCTTACTTAAGGTTACCTTGATTTCGTTTTCCATCCGTGCAAAATCTTGCATTTTCTTATCCATGGTTTCCTGAATTGGAGTAGCTATAGCTAGGTTCACTACCTCCACCAAATTTTTGGACAGGTCCTGTGACACAGCTTTAATTATTTCCGAATGAGTACTTGTGTATAGCTTATTGAATCTTTCAATCTCCCCCCTAACCAATTTTTGGGTTTTTATACAGTTTGTTAGATCATCAGAATTGCATGCTCTGCAGCAAAATATCATCGTGCGCTCTTGAAGGCGGGTTACATATGCCTCAGATTTCGTAATTTTAGAGCATCTTAGACAATACGTCTTACTGCAAATATCACATATGATTTTATAAGATGCATCTTCTGCTGACATTTCCTTATCACACTTTGAGCAAGACATTTTTGTATCACACTGTATACGCACTCTATCAAAATATTTACTGTTGATCAAAATATTTACTATTGAAAATTGCAGCCACAAAAAAACTGATGAATAAATTAACTCGAGACTGAATGATAAATTCCTTAATATTTTTATCACTTATGTTTTTTATCGTCACTTTTATATTATATTGTTTAACGTTTGTAATGTAAATTTCACATTTGTTATGCTACACTCAAACAATTTGGGATATTGATTGAATCACTATTTTCTTCCTGAGTAATTTGATATAAATTTCAAATTTTAATTTTAATGTTTAAATGGTAAAAACTGATAAAAACTGGAGCGCACTTTTAAACGACCTGAATGTGAATATCATATCATATCATATCATATGAATATCATGCGTCATATTCCTTTTTTTATGCCCATTTCAACGAGCTATCACAATACATATCTTTAAATTTGAAAAAAAAAAAGTTGGGGGTAGTTTCTACCCTTAAGAGAGGGGTAAATTCCATGAAAAGGCCGAAAAAATGTGCCAAAGTAAAAATAAAGGGACCAGTTTTTTTTATTTTTCCAGAAAATAAGCAGGCTCTCTGATACTAATTTTATTCCATTCAAAAATTCCACCCTGTATACATATATACCAGGTGTCCCACTAAGGTCGGCCAGGTACGATATTATGGAAACCATAGACCTTACGGCTTCGGGATTTTTTTTTCTTCACTAAATCGGCCAAGAGAAATTGATGGAAATTATTTTCAAGTTTCTAGGATGACCGCAATTACAATGATCTAGCTAAAAATTCAACTTTTCTCAAGAAATCGCTATATTAAGATACTGTTTTAACAACAGAAATCAAAAGTTCATTAATTTTTGCGCCAGTTTGGTTATTAGGCTTTTTTTCGTATCTTCAGTAATAAGGGTGGGGGAAGCTCGTGAAATTTTTTTTTTAGAAATTGCTGTATCTTCCATACCCCTCATTCAAACTCATTCACTTTGGGTTTATTTGGAAGAGAATTTCATTGTTATTAAGAACACCACTTCGTTCGAGGTCGATAGTTCCCACCGCGTCTGCTAGAGGGCGCTGTTTATTCAAGATCCAGTTTTTCCTAATGTTCATGAAAAATCCAAATGGCATAATATTATAATTGTATTGCTGTGCTTAAAGAGCAAAAAAATATCTACATTTTGGCGCAAACCGCAATTCAATATCTGCATTCGTTTTCAAGTTACGTGAGGTCTATGGTCTCCATAATATCGTACCTGGCCGACCTTAGTGGGACACCCTGTATACTGTGCCTGGAATGTATTTTGTCGCACTGGGCCGATATTCTCGTTCTCGAAAACGCTCACCGCTTTTCAGTTGCTCACCACTTTTAATGTAAATTCACATTAGAAGTACTGAGCAATACCTTTTCGCAACTAATCAAGATGGCTATGCCAATGATATTGGTCTACTAACTAGAGGTAGGGATGAACTCCACATTCCCACACATCGCTCCAAATTTTTTTGAAAGAGGGTATCAAAGCCTACAGACTCCTGCCAGCTGATATTAGGCATATGGAGGAAAATGGGAAATTCACGAGGAAATTCAAAATGGCTGTCTTACAGTTTGTGAGGGATAAATGTTTTTATTTTATAGACTAAATTTTAACTTGTGATGTTAGTATAATTGACGTCCTATTTTTGTATTAGTCTAGGAAAATAGTCGAAAAATACATGTATTGCAAAAAAAAAATTCCTACCCAAATGAACTTTTCAGGGATGATAGGGAGCGGGCGGGTGATCATAAAACCGGAAATATCAAACATTCACCCCTCTGGCGTTTTGCGCTATAGGGGTTGAAAGTGCGCCATTGGCGATTACTTGGTATCTATGGATTTTACAAAAAAATGTTTCAAATAAAAGATGTGCAACATTATTTGATCTACAATGTTTATCTAAAGACTTTTTTGATTAAGGGCCGTCTGTAGTCATAAGGGCCGTTTGAAATTTTATAATGAAAATGAAAAATTTTAAGCAACATGAAAATTTTTTCTACAACACATACAACATTTTTGCTTTATGAAGTTTTTACTCACCCCCTGCCGTTTTTCAATAGGGGTTGTTTAAAGTTTATTTATTTTTTTACAAAAAAAATTTCCTTATAAAAGTTTTATAAGATTATATTTCCTACAATTTTTCACAATCAACTTTTTTTGTAACTCACCCCCATTCAGCGGGGGGACACTTCCCTTGGGGAAATTTTAGTTTTTAGGGGTATAGGTATATTAATTTTTTTTTCTTTTCCCGCCTTTAGTGCATATAAAAATGCGCAATTAACATTGTACTAAAAGGATTTTTTTTTCACCACCTTTTTGTTTTTAGGGGTAGTTCGCCTATTTTCAACTTTGCAAAAAAAAGTTATAGAGAAAAATTGCTCAAAATAATAAAATGAACAAGTTTTCTCAATAATTTTTTTTTGTAAAGTTGAAAATAGCGAACTACCCCTAAAACAAAAAGGTGGTGGAAAAAAAATCCTTTTAGTACAATGTTAATTGCAACTTTTTATATGCACTAAAGGCGAGAAAAGAATTTTAAAAAAAAATATATACCCCTAAAAACTAAAATTTCCCCGAAAGAAGTGTTCCCCCGCTGAATAGAGGTGAGTTACAAAAAAAGTTGATTGGGAAAAATTGTAGGAAATGTAATCTTATAAAACTTTTATAAGGATTTTTTTTTTGTAAAAAAATAAATAAACTTTAAACAACCGTTATTGAAAAACGACAGAGGGTGAGTAAAAACTTCATAAAGCAAAAATGTTGTATGTGTTGTAGAAAAAATTTTCATGTTGGTTAAAATTTTTCATTATCATTATAAAATTTCAAACGGCCCTTATGACCACAGACGGCCCCTAATCAAAAAAGTCTTGAGATAAACATTGTAGATCAAATAATGTTGCACATCTTTTATTTGAAACATTTTTTTGTAAAATCAATAGGTACCAAGTAATCGCCAATGGCGCACTTTCAACCCCTATAGCGCAAAACGCCAGAGGGGTGAATGTTTGATATTTTCGGTTTTATGATCACCCACCCTCTCCCTATCATCCCTGAAAAGTTCTTTTGGGTAGGATTTTTTTTTTTGAAAATCGACAATTTTCCTAGATATATATGTGTGTTTGGAAGCTTTTGCATGCAAGACAAAAATTTTTGTGACGTTGCTTTTTCATGTATTTGATTTCGTTGGCAAGAAGGAAATGAATAAATAAATAAATTACTGACCTTTCTGATTTTGAACTAGAAGGTCTGTCTTCTTTTCTATTATTTCTGCCACTGCTCTTTGGTCCTTCCGATTTTCTAGCTGCAGTAGATGAACTTACTCTTGCACTGGTTTGGCCTTTTTTTATTTCAGATTTTCTTGTATTTGCCGGTTTGTTAAATTTCGATCTAAAATTTATTCAACATTAAAATAATAATTTAATAATATGTTAAGTTGTTACTTTGCAAAATTTCCATGGTCAACAGGTGTTGGAGCTGGCCAAACATCTGGATCCTTTGAGATACCCAAATCTAAACTAGTTGAATCGGGTGGTAAATCTCTTTTTCTTGCTCCGATAGGTACATCGCCACTGCATTCTAGTTTAAATGTATCCAATATAACTTTTAAATCGTTCAGCTCGCTGTATTCTTGGCTGACTTTAATTTTCATCTGAAATATTTTATATTATACAGAGTGTTTTTTAATTGAATGTCAATATTTAAGGAGGCAATTTTTGGGTATATTTTAAGAAGAAAACTTCATATGAATATATGTCATAAACATCTTAATTTTTGAGATACAGGGTGATAAAGTTTTCAAAAATAAATAATTTATTATTAATCGAGTTATTAATATTTGTAACACCACTTTAGATATTTCAATGAAACTTGGCATACAAGTACCTACTATGCAGGCGCGGCTCGTGAGGTGGGTCAAATTTAGAGAAACAGCGCCGTTTTTCGAGTTCAGGGCGCAAAATAATTCGATTTCTGCATTTTGTTGAGCGTGATGTTGGTTAATTTAAAACTAAATATCCAAGATGTTTAATTGAAAATTTATTGTTTGATTTTTTGGTGGGTCATTGACCAAATCAAAGTCTGAATGACCTTATAGAGGAGCCGTGCCTGCTACTATGTATCAAGAGGCATTTTTTAATGCATGTTTTTTTTCAAATTTCCACCAGTGGCGTTCGTATGGAATTTGACCTGCCTATTTTGGCAAACATTGATGGTACACCACTGATTTCTTTAAAAATAAAAATTATTCTTGAAATCCCCAATCATTTCTGTGCAAAAATGATCAAATAAAAAATCAGTGGCGCATCATCAATGTCTTACAAAATAGGATGTTCAAATTTTGTATGAATGCCACTGGTGGAAATTGAAAAAAAAAGTGATACATTTAAAAAATGCCTCTTGATTCTTGATAGATAGTAACATAGTAACATGTACCTACCTATACCAAATTCCATTAAAATATCTAAAGTCAAAAGTGGTGTTACCACTGGTGTTACACATATACTTCGTTTTTATTCTCATCGGTGACTTCACCAGTGAGTAACCTATCTTTGTTTAGTGAATGGAAAATGACAATGAGGGCTATAGAATGGTGGATCTATCGATAAAATTTGATGAGAATAAAAACGCAGGGATACATTAATAATAATTGATTTATTTTTGACATCTTCATCACCTGTATCTCAAAAGTTAAGACGTTTAGATAACTTCATGTGAAATTTTCTTTTTAAAACACCCTGTATATACCATTGCCTACTTGATTTTAATAATAGGTAAGGTAAAGTACCCAGTTGTTGACAGGGTCCCAAAAGTTGACACATTAGCATATTATTCCCGAAAATAAGAATTTATATAGGTTATAAGCTAACTGAAATAGCTTATAGTATTGTTGGAGCCATCTTTCAGGCTATAGCTGATGTATGGATTTGAAATGACAAGTTTTTTCAAAATTGTGGCAAGAAGTAGTGAACAGATGCAAATGTTTGAATTTTTTCCCAGATTTCTAGTGAAAATAGTTAAGAAGATATAAAAACAAAAGTTCTCAAAGCTAAGGTAGGGTTGATAAATTATGAATAATATACAGGGTGGTCCATTTAACTTGAGAAAGTCTAATATCTCGAAAACGGTGCGTTTTGAAAAAAAGTTCAAATATAAGTTACATGGTATCATGTGGGAAACAAAATGGCGGTACTGATTTTTGACTTTGACAACGTTTTCAAGGTTATTTCAAGGTCAACTCATATATTTTATTATTACAGAATCTTATTCTACAGAAAAAAACTAGTAACTTTCACTTGAAGCATTTTTCAATCCGGTTTCAATTTGAGCTGATAAAAAAAACGAATAATTTATTTTTTCCTCCTCACAAAATCGAAAAGTAGAGAAAGGTTACCAAAAATACCTAAAAAAATATAACAATTGATCAAATTGACGACCGCCAACTTCAACACACTTGTTAATTCGCTGTAGAAAGCTTTCATTGCACCAAATTACAGTTTCTTTACTGACAGCTCTAAGCATTTCTTATGTGTTCCATCATATTATCCGGTGTTGTGGGAACCTCTTGATAAACTGTGTATTTGATTTTTAAAGTGAATTGACAAGTGTGTTGAAATTGGCGATCGTTATTTTGATCAATTGTTATAGTTTTTGAGGTATTTTTGGTAACCTTTCTCTACTGTTCGATTTTATGAGAAAACAAAAAAATTATTCGTTCTTTTTTATCAGCTTAAATTGAAACCGGATCGAAAAATGCTTCAAGTAAAAGTTACTTGTTTTTTTCTGTAGAATAAGATTCTGTAATAAAAAAAATATATTTCCATTAAAAAAAGAGTTGACCTTGAAATAACCTTGAAAACGTTGTCAAAGTCAAAAAATCAGTACCGCCATTTTATTTCCCACATGATACCATGTAACTTTTATTTGAACTTTTTTTTTCAAAAACGCACGGTTTTCGAGATATTAGACTGTCTCAAGTTAAATGGACCACCCTGTATATTTACTGTATAATAAGATACATTGTAATACATATTTATTATTGTTTTATCTCTTAAACAACTGGCATAAACTTTTTAAGGGGGGGTGTCAACTATTGAAGCCCAAATCGAGGGGTGATCCAAATGTTGACACTAGTGTCAACTTATGGATTTTTGGCGGTAAAAATATTTTAGCATTGTAGTCTGTCTCTTTTTATTGCTCTGGATTAAAAAGAAACCTAGATATGGGTTTGGGGAATGTAACGGTCGTAGATCCAAAAGAGGACACCCCTGTTACCCCTGTCAAGGTTTGGAGCTTTGGAGTGTCAACAATTGGTCCTTTCAAGTTTAAATCAAGAGATGACGCATGAAAAATGGAAATTGCTGAAATATGCACCAGAACTACCAGAGGACGTGTTTGCTGCATTGGATGATTGCGATAGGGGGTGCGATATCAAAAAAACACATTGTACCAATGCTTTCCAAGCAATTTCTTTTATTAGCAATTTGGAATTGAAATTTGTATTTTTTTCGCAACAAAAAGTTTCCCAATGTTATTTTTTATTATTAAAAAGTTTGATTCTTACATTATTGATGTTTCTACCAGGGTTTCTACCTTATATTATATACAGGCTCACCTAGATACGCAATGTATTCCAAATAAATGCAGCCAAGAAGGGTTCACATTCTAAGCCCATGTCTTATATATATTAGGTATGCACTAGGGCTCGGAATTTTTAAAATTCAAGTATTCGAATAGTCGTTTGGTATTTTATTCGAATAGTTGAATAATTCGAATAGTCGAATATTCGAATACCTATTCGAATAGTCGAATATTCGGGTATTCGAATATTCGAATAGTCGAATATTCGAATATTCGAATACCTATTCGAATAGTCGAATATTCGAATGGTCGAATATTCGAATAGTCGAATATTCGATTAGTCGAATAGTCGAATATTCGAATATGTAGTCAAAATGTCGAATATTCGAATAGTCTAATATTCCAATAGTCAAATATTTCGATAATAATTTATATTAGTTAGTTCGTACTTCGTCGTACTGTTAGTCTATTCTTAATTAAATACCGGTACCTAACCGGAATAGTCGTTTAGGTAACTCTTGAAAATCTAAACATTATTTTGTAATGTATAGGGTGAGTAATTGCATTGTTAAATAGTCTAATATTCAAATAGTCGAATAATCGAATAGTCGAATATTCAAATAATCTAATATTCGAATAGTCGAATATTCGAATAGTCGAATAGTCGAATAGTCGAATATTCCAATAGTCGAATATTCGAATAGTCGAATTTAGAATAGTCGAATAGTCGAATATTCGAATTATTCGAATACAATTCCGAGGCCTAGTATGCACTGATACGTTGGACACGCAGAAAAACCTAAAGCGATTTTTTTAAAACGATTTGATTGGTCGTTACTTGTCAACGCGTGTTTATTTAGTTTATGTGGGAATCAGCTTTTAAAGTCGTGCGTAAAAATTTTGTGCTCGTAGTAACGGCTACTGGAGCGCAATGGCTGCCACTTTTGAAACAGCTGACTTTGGATTTGTTGTTTTGTGATTTTGTTCTCGCGTTTTATTGTGATTTTAATGAGTTTGAGGCTCTGTTTCCTATTTGGTTACCGCTACATGGAGCGCTAATCCTTTAGGAATTGTAAAGTTATATCTAGCATCGCGTTTCCTATTAGGCTAGCGCACATGTCTTTCGCTACATGGAGCGCTAATCATATAGGACTTGTTGAATTATATCTGACGTCGCGTTTCCTATTAGATCAGAGCACACCCTCTGCGATCGTCTCATTGGTCGTCTGCAGGCATCTATTGCATTGCAATCCATTTCATTATCGTAATTTTTGGAGGTTAATTGGTGGTTCAATAATTTTGGATATTTCTCGTTGTGTCTCATTTTATTTTTTCTCTTAATTCTGGCGTTATGGAAGAGATACCTAATTAAAAAGTTTGATACTACGTGTAAATTTATAAGTTGTGTCAGTAAGAAGGAAAGTGAATATGAAGTAGTTTTGCGGACCAAAGTAGATTTTCCTGACTACGATGTACAGGGTATGCAGTGGATAGGCGAGTTTTCTGCTGCTACAAATACGCAATGGATTGTTTCACAAAACTATCCAAATTTGCAGAGGCTTCACTATAGAAAAGATTTTGTTTGTCATCACAACAAAAAAAATAAATGCCGCAAAAACGAAAGCACAAGGGAGAGAAACAAAAATTGTCCTGCAAAAATTATATATAAAGTTAAAAAAATAACTAGATTTACTAAATACAAAGACCCTTTTTTGAAAGAAAACTTGAATGCAGTAATTGAGGTAGGTACCTATTGCTCTAAAAAAAATTATTTTCATTGACATAATTCTTTGTATTTCATTGAAACAGATTAACTTCAAACACACTCACCGAATTCATGTTGCGGAGGCATACAGCTTTTTACGCATGAGTGAGTTAACGAAAGAAAAGTTTTATAAGTATTTTGAAGATGGTCTGTCGGCTAGTGAAGCACGTTTTCGTGCAATAAGAATGAATCACCCTGTATATTTTTTTTAGAGAAGAAAATTATGGTACTCTTGAAGTACGTAGTATGAGAGAAAAGTTTTTGGAAAAAAGGGATTATTTTGAAGAAAATGGTGTCAAAATAAGTAT